TAGTGGTTCAAGTGGTATTTCCTAGCTATTACGAAGACAAACAAAAGTTATCCATAACGTCACGTTCCAATGATTTTACAGACGGATAAGACGGGGATGAGTAAGGGCAACCACATAAAAAGACGCGTGTGGACCGCTCCGGTTCTCCCGCGCGGGGTAATGGCCACGCCGACCAAATTGCCGGGTCGGCTCGGTTTTCGCCCGGAGCCAAACCGCTCTTAAGTGGTTTCTATTTTTTTCCTTCTTCTTCTTAGCTATCCGCCCCTCCTATCAGGCTCATTTTAAGTGGCACGTTGCTCCGAACCCGGAGTAGGAGTAGGCGGTACCGGGATGACAGGACCTCTAACGGATACATATACAATCATAATTCTTCTGGCGAAATGGACTACCTTCCGAAATTATAGGGGCCGCCGAAATCTCTTCGTAATGGTTTTTGTTCTACTGACGTTTATACAGTATCGCTCCTATATATATTATACACCTGCCTAAAACCTTCTTTTTTTCAATCACATACACACAGACAACCGTCACAGTTGGGATATTTATTTGAAAATATATGCATGCATTTTAGGATATGTCACCTCATCGTGTCCTGCAATACAATACCAAGCTTAATTACTTCGAAACATACTCGGTTAACCGTGACCAGATGGTTTGTACTTGAGGGCGTACGTTGCACGTTAAACTGCACCCTTTCATCAGTAAAAAAAAAACGGTGGGGAGAGTGGACCTAGACGATGTCGATCTACCCAAAATCTCGCACATTGTATATTTGTATGTGACAATAAATATTACTACACACACGCACACATATACACACGCGACAGATACAATGAACATCTCACGCGTCTCGCATACTATGATATTTTTGGTTTACTACAAATAATAAATATGTTTGTACTTTGTTATAACATAAAATCTAAAAGACGTGTTATAGCCTCCAATCAAACAACGGTACTACAGATTATAACATGTAAAATAATAATAATAATAATAATAATAATAATAATAATAATAAATAGAATCTCTATTGTCCCGGAGAACGACGCCTCCCACCCATATAATTAGCTAATTAAATAGTAACATTAATTATAAATGTAAATATTTATATGTAGAAATCTAGTGTTTCGTCGGTTCTTGAAAAATTACACAGTCCGCTTCCGTCCAGTCGGCCGGTTTACATGTTGTAAACGAGGATTCGCCAGCATAACTATAATTACATGAGTCATTACGTATATTATGTAGGGACCCAAGAGTAACCATAACTGCTAGTGCTGTCACAATGTACACTAACAGACACGCAACTCGGCAACTCGTTTATGTATAATGCACTTGTCCGGGATCGAGATAATTCGGTATACACATCGCATTTATAAGTAACWATCTATACTTTATGTAAACGAAATACTTTGTACAAATTCGAATACTTTTTTTTTTACAAATGTTCTTTTAGAAAACGTATAAAAAACTGGTTTCACAGTAGGGTTTGAGTGCCAAATGGTGTGTATGGTGCACGAGGGCGGTGATCATTTTTTATCGTTGAATCAACCCCGGGGAGTATACACAGGAGGGGAGCTACGGCTCAGAGACTTCAATTGTTCCAAAACCCTCACATTTATTCCAGCACGCAAACGCTCGTAATCTAATGCCCCTTTTTCATACCGTATGTCAACCGATTTTTAAAGGTCCGATGACTTGGCGTAGTGCTATCCGTTATAAAAAGAGATAATCGATGATACAACTTCATCGATGTATTAAAATGATAAATTAATATCCTAGACAATTTTATTTCAATCGCAAACTAAAACTTCTCATATTATAGAAACATTAAAGTTTTATTTCTTAATTAAGTGCCCAAATAACCATATATTTTTTAATAACTAGATATTTCAGAAAGTACGCATTAATTCGATAAACATAAATTCTATTGACACAGACATGGTGTACATTTATTTTTATATCCACGCAATCGTTTTTAGTAAAAAAAAACCAGTTTTATAGCAAAAAATATAAATGTGTTTTTAAACCTCCAAATACTAAAATACTACTTTGAGTATATTACAATTTGATTGCGCCAGAAAATGTTGACAGGTATTAGCAAAATGTCAAATCGACTTTTTTTTTCTACCTTAATTATTCGAGATTGCATTGCATTTGAAACAATACGAATGGCAACGCTGTRCATAGTCATTTCTGAAGAGCCCCCGGAAGGCTGTGCGCGCGTAGCTGCTGCTGCTGTTCACCTGACCAGGTACTATGGCCGACTGCTCTCCGTGGGAACCGCACGGACCGTGCCCTTTCTCTTCAAGAAAAGCCCCGCAGCAAAATTAAAAATAATAATAATAATAATAATAATAACATAACATATCCAATCGTTGCCATTTTGTATTTAACTCATTATTACTCATAAAATTCGCCGGTAATAATTAAAAATGTACAAAAATAAAATAACAAAATCTAAAAACTGAAGATTTATATTTTTATAGGAACAGCTATACACCTTGTACAGTATATATACGCTAACATATAGCTGTTGTGAATACGATGTCGTTAACAAGTCAACAAAAGGCACGGGCTGCAATTAAGGCCGACCCTACGCTACAGTAAGACGCCACTGTTCGGATTACACCAGATTGATTTCGAGGACAATAAAACGTCGGGTTGAAGAACGTAGAAAAACTTACACGACTTATTATTACTGTCTTGTGAGAGAATCTTTTTAATAAAATTTATCATGGTGGGTATATGCATATGAGTTTTGTCATTACCGATTTGACTCGCACACACTACGCATCCCAAAATGTAAATCGTGTTGTTGTTAGCGCTGTTATTAGTAGTAAAAATGTGACGTATTTTTTCTTTCTTTCTTTTTTGTTAGAGTTACCTATTAGCTCCCACAATACACCGTGCATAATGTAATTTCCATCTCCCACGAAAGAATGCCAATCATAAAACTCCTGGAGTCGCCTCTGGTCAGGCCCGATATTTATCGGATGACGTCATGTATTTCCCATTGGGAATAGGTACTCGATAAAGTTTGATCGAATTTTAAGACGGTAAAAATTTCCAATTTCAAAAAAAAAAAAAAACTATAAGAACGAATAACGTAAAATAGTTTGGTATAGTAATAGAAGTTTTTTCTTACCAATAGTTCCGACCGTCAATGAAAAACCAATAATTATTATTTTCCCATACCGATGGCGTTATGCAAGGGATAAAAAAAATATTCGATTAACTTTAGAAGACACATGCACAAGATAATCGATTTAAATTTCTATCCAGGTTTTCTTTTTGTTCGAAGCCACAGCCCGACAATGTAAACAAGAGCACTATGTGTGTTTTACTCTGCGGCGTCCGTGACAAATTGTATTATCTTTGGTCAACGATCTCCTCCATAGATGATTACTGATCACTACCACGTTTTACGACCAAAAATTCAAGGTTGCTCGCCCACGCCGTTGCCGTGATGATTTAGTGATCCTGGTAGGACTTTGGACACGGTCCACGGTACTATATGTATGTTGTGTACATAGGTATAATAATATATAGAACGGCGGTAATTATTATCCTGGAGGAAAGCAAACCGTCCACAAAACGAGTTCACCTCATTTTTTTATTTCTAGTTATAATACAGAGTGATTTTTAAAAAAACACAGCACAGACAAAGAAGTGGAAAATAATATATACATTTAAATTACACATATTATTTTTCGAATATGATGTACTATATGGGTATACTGTATATACATATGAAAAACCCTACTTGCACACAACTTAGATTACAATGCCAACATGCACAGATAATTAAATTTCGTTAGTTCAAATAAATATGCTCTAAAATATTATAAAACTTGCGTACAGTAACAAAATACACCATCGACRTTACAATAATTATGAATACTACCGAAGTGCTCTACAACAAATTTATTACATAGAAATTATTATATTAATATCAATCGATTTATTTGATCCCATGAAAATCAATGAAATCCTAAACATATAAGTACAATGAATCGTCTTGAATGGATTATATTCAAACTATTTTTTTCAGTAATTGCAGACCGATTTATATGATGTTTAATGTTTATGGTAAATTATATACACCTTCTTCCTTCTTGAAGCAGACCAAACAATAGATAATTTTAATTTAATTTTAATTTAACCGAATCGTCAGGCATCAAACTATTCAAATAACTTAATRTCAAATAATTGAAAAATAATGATAACATTTGTTGAAYATTAAATTCTATACCCATAAAAGAATACATTAGAACGTATGAATGGTCGCATTCCAATATATATCTACTGGTACCCGGTAAATTACTGAAGTTTGATTGGACATCATGGAACATATACGAATAAGATAGTATTATAATATACTTATATTTATTCACATCTGGCTTTAACATAAATATAAATAATTTATAAAAAAAAAATTTAAATACCTAATCAAAATTATCTTCAAACATTTTAAAAGAAACCATAATTATATATTTTAACATGGGTACTTAACGATAGTAAAATGATAAGAAATTAACAACTATCAGATCGCGTTACAAAAGCAAATCACATAACATTATGTTAAAACACCATCGTAAAGAGCTTGGATTAGTTACTCCAATATAAAAATATATATATTATATTAGATCGACGCTATAAAACTCAACGGTATTTTCAATCAAAAGCAATCACGATAATTCCCAAAAACCAATTGAATGGTATATTTGTCCAGCCCTCGCTTTTAACTATATTTAAATAAACTAAAATTTAAATAAAGTATATTTTTTAAACACGTTCGGTCAATGACTGTTTTTTTTTTCGGTTATTTGAATTGTTTTTACAATCGATAATTAACCATGAAACGATTTTCGTATACTCTCAAGCCAAATTGATGAGCAATCTCAGCTAGTATTCATGCACGAACATTGGTAAATGGTAAGCACATAAAACAATGGGGACTTGACGTTTAAAAACTAATTGTTGTTCTTTTCTGTACTCACTTGCAAGCGTATTCTCCGGTCTTTTTCATATAACAAGTACCTCCGTGAAGACATGGGTTTGGCGAGCATGACACGATCCCGGTAGACCCTAAAAATAAAAATAATAATTAAAATAAATATTGGACATCGTTTTGTGTGTGTGTACACAGATATGTGTATATTTATTTATATATATATATATATTCTGAATTAGCATATTTCTCTGAAAGACCATATTGAGTTTTGTTTATTCAGCGTTAAAAAAAACGAGGACATTCCGGGACACACCTCTCTGCGGTCAAACAACACCTTGATTATTATTTTAAGTCAAAATATTAAATACATTATGTACACACATGGTTCTTAAAAATTCCTGTTTGACCGACGATTTCTTTTAAAATAGACACACTCACTCAGCATGTAAAAGCAAAGGGTTGTAAAACTTTATACCACGAACGCGTGAAAATGCATTTCAAGAGGGCATATTATTTATGATGGGTCGTCATGGAACGAATTGGTTATGTTCCAAGAAAGGGTGAGCAATATCGTGAGAAACCATGTATCAGGGTGTCTGTAAATAATGGTATTGGTACTTCATACGAAGACCGGTGATTTTTGACCTAAATCTATCGAAAATGGGTCATTGTATATTTGTATTGACAACATTCATGTTGCGTGTTTGGGTAAGCACGAGCTCAGAATAAAAATTTTTAAAAAAGGAAGAAAATTAAATTGTGTCGCGCGATCATATAGTGAACCCGCGCTCGACTAAATGATGAACTCATCCGGTCCAGGCCCGGGCAGGAAGTATTCCATTAAGCGATCGTTAATTCGCCAACAGCTAGGCAACTGTCCATGATATCATCAAGGCGGCGGTGGCAGCGGCGACAGCGGCTTAATAGAATGAAATAAAAACGAGTTGCTCAAATATATATATATATATATTACATGCAGTAATATACACATACGTATACTATTATAGAAGAGTGAAAAGACAAAGAATCATTGCCCGGTCGCAATTCAATTCACCAAGTCCAAACAATGCTCCCAAGCGCAATAATCATTACACACAGATACACGGTGGTACTTTATTATCTTAGTTTTTTCTTTATACGTGTATATATATATATATCTATATATATATTATCTACCGTTATTAGTTTTATTGCGCTGTTGATGAACCACCATCGAACTACACACACATAGTGCAGTTTTATAAACATTAATAGTATATAAAAATAAGAAATTAAAAAATAAAAATCAGAGGCTACATTCAGACACACGCACACACACACACATATATATATATACACATACAGTCTATCTTTATACATTATGTATAGTATTGTTGTGTTGAACACWCGGCCGCCATGCAATAACCGACCGGATTGAATTGAACTTGTGTGTCAGTGTATGTATACGTACCGATGTGACCGCATAATAATACAATACAGTATTATTATACACACTTATATATGTATAATATGTAATATACGAGCGGGACTGGCAACATGGCGGATGGAAGACGCGTAGGTATATTACGTACACGGCTACGAGGAGACCACCGAAAACCTTGGCTATTACTACCTGTTGTTCGCCGCCGCCGACGACGACGACACATTGGGCTCACACGTGCTCATCCGTCGTCACATTCATCGACGAAATATCGAAACAACCAATATACGACGCTAATTTTTATACATTTATAGGACCATTAATCGGTTTTGAGACATTAAAAAAATAATTCCTAAATAATATGATGAAGACGTATTAGATCGACAGRTATTTGATTAAATTACATCATTATTCACTGTATACTGAAGTGCAATAACATATTATATTATAATTTATAATGTATATCATCGATGTATAATATATCGATGTACAACTGGAATATCATTTTACCCACGTATTGTATGTACCTATTATGTGTTTTTGATATATTGTACAGATTTAAATTTTAAACGTAAATATTGTCTTTGAAAAACACGTTCCGACTATAAACAACAATATTAACGTAATTAGTACGGATTGATAGACAATAACACAATAATGTTAATTRAAAACGATCATTGATATCATTTAGAAATTAAAACACACGAGTGACGAGTAGGTGTTAATGGTCTAAAGGTCATTGACTCAATTTGTATAAAAATTCAAAAAAGCAAAAACTACCAAAATCATAAACGTCCGATATTCACTGCAGAATGAAACATTTAATTGTGTTTGGACAATTCACTAAGTAGATAAAAAGTAAAAACTGTGTACTTTAGTTCAACGGCTACGTCCTGTAACAAAATGAATACTGWATGCCTATAATACAATAAACAGTACGCAGAACCTATATTTTATTAATGTTTCCCTAACAGGTTTTTATGCCGCCGAGCCGTGCAATACGTAGGAATATCTACATAATCATTATCTTAATACGGATTATTAATTAAGAGACACAATGATTTCATCTCTAATAAAGCTGTTATCAAATAAGTACTAATGAGTAYCTACCTAATGGCAAATTAAGTCTCCAAGAGAACACACACGAAGAGATTTGTAAAAAAAAATATTGTGATTTGTAGTTTTTATCTGATCTATTTTTATGGTAATTAAATTATTGAAAAAATTCAGTATCGTAAACACGTTTTCGCCCTAATTAATCAACCTATAATAATTTATAATACAACATAAGAATGATTAATCTTTAACCACCAACTATTAAAATAATATGCTGAATTAAACAATTAACCCTAGGGAAATGTAAAATAAAAATATTAAGTAAGTAKRTACCTTATATAATTCTAACATAGGTACACAATTATTTGRTTTTTTCATTTATTTATCAACAACTTCGTACATGGGAACGACATAATATTAACATAATATTATGTGCGTACATTATACTCGTACAATTAATTAAAAAGAAGTAGACGTAAGTAATAGAATAAATAACTAAGTAAATTCAAAAAACTGAATTAATAATTATTTCAAATCTCTAATAATTAGTAACAACTTCGTGAGAACAAAATCAAACCATTCAATTCGTAACCCAAAGTAAAATTTGTTTGTTCGTATAGATTATTTTAATACCTATATCATTATGTCATTTTATATCAAGTGTTTTTTTTTTTCTTCTTCTTATTTTTTTTTTTAAATCGTCGGTCACAAGGTATGCCTTTGCTCTGCTTTCTCGCAAGTTACAACACACATAATACAGGCAAAAATGCGTTGTGTATAAACGGGGAATATAAAATTAATCTGAAATGATTCAGTTCTAATCGGCTTTTATCTGTTTGAACGGCGGTAATGAAAATAAGGCATATTACGCGATTATAAAACKGTTGACGTCTACGGCTGGGAATCAATTATATTTTTAACTCAAAATCGCTGACATCCGCGACTGGATGTCCGGGTTACAGAGACGTATAACATGCACGAGATTGGTGGCTAGGTCATAGAGGTAATAGACTAAAACGCGGAAAATTGGGTCCTCAGACGAGTTAATTTGACGTTGTCATCGCATTCGTCCGCCGATCACAGCGTACTCGTTTTGTTTTTGATATACGATAAATTAAAAAAATTGCATGGTCACGAGCGCGCACGTCTTCTTAAACCACCACCAACCACCGCCACTACACTATGTATTTTTCCGTTCCACAAACGCGATGACATTTTCGTGGCAATTTTTTGGTCTACCTATCACAATGATAACATTATATGATTGTATTATCCTCATTTAAACGACGTATGATAATATAATACTATCATATAGATTGTAAAAGACGTCTCGGCCGACCGATCGAACCGAYTAGCTCGGGACTCCCGATTTTCGGTTGGGTCTCGTGTCCTGTGTTTTTGCGGCGCTCCGCATGAGGCCACTTGTTTGCCGAACGCGTGTAGGGCGGACGCCCGAAAAATACAGTGTATATACATAATACGAAACAGCTGCAACTTCATACCCGGTTGGCGGCGGTTACGGCACACATACCGGACGGAGTAGTGAAAAACGCGGAGWGAGCTGCGGTGAGGAAGGGAGAGGAACAGAGGGAAAGAGGAGTTCGTCGTCGCCGTCGCGCAGATGTTCCGACGGACGGGCGGCTCGACGAAGGCGGCGGCGGGTAGGGGTTGTTTTGTGTGTGCGCGGCGCGTGAGGGTTTTTCGGGCGCCCCGACCGACCGTGACGACAACATTCACCCGGCCGCGGTGACGGCGGACAGGGATACCCAAAGCACTGCAGCGCCCCGCCGACCGGAGCGTTCCAGACACGAGCACACTCGGCCGGTGTGCAGTAAGGGGGAGGCCGAAAAACCGTTACGGCTGGGCCCCAACAGCAAAACGCGAATTTCTAATGCGGGCGCGAGTCGATATGATTATTAATAATTATTATACCATCGTGCGTGCGTGCGACCGTACACGATACAATGCGTCGACACGAGCACAGTGCACTCGATTCACGAATATCCAATAGGCATATTAATAATATTGTATTATTATRATATTTTTACGATATTATACGAATCGAAATATCCGCGGCCAAAATATTATATTGCGACGCATGGATGATGTCAGACGGTTTAARACCTCCATTCGGTCGAGTCGTTTGCGATGAGATTTGTCGCCGGTTAGGTGTCCCCGATCGGATCGGCCGTGTAAACAAACGTAATATCACTGATATCAAATAATATGGAACCTTTTATAMAATATAATGTACATTAATACCGCTCAGCGCGCGTCCGACGAGACGCATAATAATAAACGCTAATTGGACGATAACAATGTTACGCGGACTGGAGTGTGTGTGTTTGGTCTGGCGTGCAATTTACCAACGACCGCACACTAATTTAAAGCCAATGAACCAATTTAAATAGCCGATGTTATACAGACGCCAACGCCGAGTGGTCACGGTTCATTGTAAAATTTATAATAATATTATTATCGTTGTAGTCGTAAAACGGTTTGTCAACCGCGCTGCCAAAGATTTCGCGCACCGAGTCAGTAGGTATGCGTTGAAAAGTTCGCGTCGTTAGCGCACATTTTGGGAACACCCGAGTCCTAGAAGTTATTATGTATTATATATATATATTTTTTTTTTGGGTTGCGTTATGGTCCAGCTGGATAATGATGATATTAAAGGTGCACCACACACGGTCTGCCCAAAGATGATCGATATAACGACGCGCACGTCGAGGCTGATGTCACACAGGCGATTTGTTGATCAAAGACTGCATATTATAATAATATTATTAAACGTAGGTATTATATTGGACGATAATCGTTTTAAACCGAATAATACGCATTTATTGACATTAACTTTTGGCTAGGTATTGTTATTATTCCTACACGCCGAAAATGTCAACAAACACAAACGGTATAGCGATAGCGTTTGCGTCTTTGCGACGCCAATAACCCAGTCCAAATTTCAATCTGATAACGGTCTAAACTCGCGACGRCATGTCTCGTAATATTCTAAAAGTTATGGTGGACGTATTTTTTGTCAAATCCACCACCGGAAACGTCTAAAATCCAGCGTTCAAATCTCTAAGGTCAAAAGTCGCAAGTTGCATAACGCGTTCACAAACATTTGCCGTTCCGGTCTCCGAAAATTACGTTAAATTGAAATTTGGAATATTAACAACTATAGAAAAATACGTTTATTTATAATTATCAATATTTTCATTTCCCAAACGCCCACGTAAGAATTTAGGTGGTAACATTTTTGATAAATGAAATTGAAAAAGTGTTATACAATACACACGATGAAAATATTATATAATGCTTGGAAGAAACATCAAAATAAAGGTTCGACTATTCGAGATTGAACCCATAACAGCAGGAAACCATTCAATGACAATAGGGACAAGGAATACCAAGTCCAGGTCAGTCCAGGTAAACGACGGATTTATGGTCAAATGTTACACAATAAACTTGCATAACCTACACGGTCTCACGAATTATTTTAATCGAGAGCAAATGACTGATTCAAATTCATTTTTCTTAAAATATACTTATTACATCTAGTGATATTATTGTTCKTTTATTTTTTTATTAATTACCTGATGCTCCATCGGGTCCCGCAGCTAACGTCCAGAACGCCAATAGTAAACACGTACCGACGAAAGTCCGGCCTGGATTTCTTCTCCTCATGGTTCGTCGTATCACTTGTCGAATAACGTCGTAATCGGCGCACCAATACGAGGTATAATTAAAAATTAACAATTAAAAAAAAATCCTATGAGATTTATCCGAACTCGATAGAACACATGATCACCGTCCGTCTCGCACGCACTTTTTTTCGCACACGAACAACAATAATACGCAGCCGGCCGACGGAACAGAAATAATACAAAATATATTTATTTATTTATAAACACACGAACGGTTCGGATTAAAAATCAAATCAAATTGTATTATTACTAATAATTATATAAAAAAAAATAAAAAATGTAAATGCGGCTCAGACAACTACACGGAGCGCACGACACGACGGATTATTTGAAACTGGCAGACGGTCGGACCGCCATGAAACATACCGATGCCGTATTCGTACGCCGCGGGATGGGGGCAAAGGACACCGGATGGATCGACAAATTATCGGTCAGAATTTRTCACAGTTTTCGCAGAAATTTAGCTTGAGACGATGTCGAGCACTACAGCAGTGAAAAATTGAAAAAAAAATCCGAAAAACACACGAAAACGAGTTAAARACTGAGGAACTGCTCTCGTTCGGTACGCGGACTGGTTCCTTTCTTCCCTTGGGCGTCGTACGTTGCGCTGCCAAGCGGACGCCGTGCTCAACGACAACCACCTGCTCTTTTCGAATCCAGTGGTTATCAAAACCTGGTCGGTAAGCTTAACTCCTTGTGCTTTATTTTCTCCATCCGCCGCCGTCACACATGGTTGATTCGAAATGCTGAAAATAACATTAAATGTGTGCGTGTGTAAAAATTTCAAACGAAACCGACTCGCACACTAAATGAGTARGTATACAATGTTTATAATACGTGTCGATTGATTTTCTACTTCGCGTCTTCTTACAATACCTATGTCTACTTCATACAGATTATTATTATAATATTATATAAGATGTATACATGCGCACAGCCGTTGTCGTTTAGACTTTATTCGTTAAAGTTTAACTTCAATAAGAAAATCGACAATGATTTAAAACTCTTGCTGTTTTGATTTCTATACGTCATTAAAATCGATTATCAAAAATATTAAATAAATATAATCTAATCRGTGTWTATGGTTAAAACTTGAWTACTCGTAGAATATGAGTACAGTGATTTTATTATCGTTTTCTTTAACTGTATGAACTTTGAAAACAGAAAATACTTTATTTACTGTACCTRCCRAAATAAAWWAATTTCGGTTATAACTAAATATTAGTAAAATTGCAAWTAAAATGTTTGTATATCGTATAAAATRAATACATTTATTTTAAATTTAATTTTAACGGACTATTTACATTGATTGTATTCAAAATCATATTAAGTTGAAAACTGTACGATTTCGGTTATTGATTTTTGACAAAATAAATTCATATTGTGATGTAAATCCATTTTATAAAATAAATATACTAATACCTACCTATAAATATTTACTTCTATTGATAAAAATTCTATTTATAGTAAGATATCAGAAATATTTTTATAATTCTATGGAATAAGCAAGTTCTCGTCACAAACAATTTCTTAATAAATAGATACTATGAGTTTAAAAGTAATGGATACCTAACGTCCTAACGCACTTTTAAACTCTTAGTATTTATAAAGAAATTTAATTCTTTAAGTATATAATATGTACYTACCTATATTATAACTATATCATATTTTCTATTCCTAAAATTGAAATTATAAAATTTAATATTATTAGAATTAGCTACTCATGAAGTTATATTTTAGTACTTAATTATTTATTAAATACTTCACTATAAATAACTGTCATAATATATATATATATATATGTATATATATATTTAGGTACTACTTATTCAATCACACGGTGTAATGAATTATAATTATTCATTAAAATTAATTTTAGTGGTAGGTTTATAATATATATTATACGACCATATAGTATTAAAATACATATAAATAAATTTCATAGTTTTATTGTTTGTGATGAGAACTCGCTTTTTCCAAATAATTATAAAAATATTTTTTATATCTAACTATAAATAGATTTTTGTATCAATAAAAATAAATATTTATATRTATGAGTATATTAGTAAAATGGATTTGACCCACAATTTGAATTTATTTTGTAAAAATCAATAACTGCAGTTGTACGATTTTCAACTTTAAATGATTTTGAATACAATCAATTTAAATAGACCGTTATCAAAAAAAATGTATTCATTTTATACGATATACAAATATTTTAAATGCAATTTTCCCAAATTTTAGTCAAATCCGAAATTTATTATTTTTAAAATAACTARTCATCTACCACTTAAAGTCGTAAACTGWGGGTTTATATAGATTTATTAAATATTTTATTAGGCGTTAAATGTTTATAACACCATTGAATCATATTTTGAAGTGTTAGCAAAGTTTACGTTAGTTAAAAAAATTCCCAGACACTACACGTTTATTTATATAGTACTTATATTATACCTTTTTAAAAAGCCAATCGGTTATTATATAGTGACCGTAGTATTTGAGTGGACCTGTCAATATGTATATTATTTTATAGCCGTTATAAGCGACCGTATCTATGTTATTTAGATGAGACACCCATGCAAGAGTATATTATAAATATATTATACCTATAAACAAGAAAATCCACGCGTGTTTCATGTACAGCACCAGAATCAAAGGATATATAATTTATAAACCAACATTTCAATCACAGATAATTATTATATAYATTATATTATTATGAKTATGTTTCGAATATCTTAGTAACAATTCGTATTCATAATATAACTTTTAATCAATGGGCATCTTATTATTAGTAGTTGTAAGTACACTGTACAGTATTAGCAAAATATCAACCTATGATGGTATCTATAAAATACAACAATAATCCATCATCACATCTGGTATCAGTTGCTTACTTGCTTATAAATTATCTATGAATTATAAATTAATTATTATTATGCACACAAAGACACCTATAATAGTTTAATTTTCTGATTTGAAATTTGAGCACCAATAATGCACGATACACTCTTTATTTATTTTTTTTATTTTTTTTGTAGCACCCAAAATCTGAAACAGGAAACGCGGGTACTATAAAGAACTCCGGTTTCGATATTATATTACAAAGACATAACTGCATCATGCCTTCATTCCACAACGTGCATTTAGTCGCTTCCATAGTAATTSTTATCTAAAGAACTGTCTACTTTTATATTCATTCTTTATTCTAAATGTTTTTACATATTATAAATGTATTTGAAGGTCTGTTATTTTGTTTCTAATAATCTAATTCCAAGAAGTAAAAAGAAAATTTCATTGTTGGTTTCCAATTAATGTAAAAAAATTCATAATATATACGTACAATATTTTTATGTGTACCTAAGTAACACCATTCAATGAGCATTTATTTATTTTCCTCCTATTAACATTTTAACATACTTTTGTACATATCAAATAATTAGTATATTTCATTACTTCTTACAGTAAACATTTTAATTTTTAATTTCTTTTAATACTTAAAATATTTAATTATAATAATAATCGTTAATGTATATTTTATTACCTACATTCAATTTGAATGATAATAGTAATGATTATTTTGTTTTCCTGGAAATTATAATATACATTATACATATTAAATGCCTAGAAATGTCCAACCAATAATAATAAAATTGTAAAACAACACAAACATTTAATATTATAAATAATATATTTCATTATATATTTATATATACATATATTAATGGTGAAATAGTGTAACTCAAAAATACACATAATTAGGTTTAGTAATAAATAAAACAATGTAATCAATTTTTTTTTTTTAAAGTTTATTTTAATACATTATAAAATGTATTTAGGTTTTTGTAGTTCATATACCTATAATAAATATCATAAATATCCGACTAGCAATGTATTTTCGTTTATTACATTATTAATTTTAAAAAAAATTCTGTAGACAAATAAACTATACTGTGTTTTACACTGGTATTAAGTGTAAGTGTTAATTCAATATTTTATTATAWTATGGTATCTGATTTTATACTTCTACTAGGTACCTAACTATAGACACTTATATTTGATTTTTCTTGTAGTTCAGCTCAATACAGTCTATTTAGTACTTTGTATAACACGAACCTATTATTTATGCATCCATTCTTAAAATTTTAGTCAGACATATTTCGAACATAAATATTGCATTTCATTAAGAAATAATATTATTCTTACCATAATTATTTTTTGTTACTTATATTTATATATTTCACTTTAGRCTCGACTGGCAAAATAAGCATATATATATATACCAGAACTTGGCATAATATGCTAATAAAAAGTACTATGCTCATCGTGCTTGTTATTTTATATAAGCATATTAAAACGATAGCAAACTTAAACATTTTGAACATTTCATCTAAACAGCTTATTATGGTTTTAATGTCTTATAATATGCATAACGTCAATTATTTATAAAGAAATAATACAATTAGGAAAATATTTAAACTTTTAAACTTTGTAAGTATTGTTAATATTGTTTTAAAGTAGGTATATATGTACCTATTTAACATAATATTCCTACCATATTATTTTTATCATAATATGTTATAACTTTACTTCTTAAACATAAAATGTTTAAAAAAAAAATACGTTTTCATAATAAATGTTATAATATAAAGATGCATTTAATCGGCGATATAAATTTCAACTATTATCGCGATTCGCGGTTATCACGATTTGTGCAAACTTTTTTTATACACTTGAAATATAATAGACTCATAACCGTGAATATCACAATTCCTTACAATTTGTGTGCGAATGAAATAGTATACCATTGTACAGTATACATACAACTTACTATAAGCGGTCATGTTTGCGTGTATGTACATAATGAATAATGATAAACCGAGATAAGTAATGGAGACAGTTTCATGAAAATAACCAGTGTCCGCGTTTTAATTGTACAATATAATTCTCGTTTAATGTTCGTTTATTATACACTCGTTTCTTCAATTTCAATGTACTCGTTATTCAACAAACATATTATTTCGTATTTCAACTTGGGAAAAAAATGTCGTCACCAAGTATAAACACGGTAGGTACATGTAGGCAATAGTATAAATATGTGCCCTGCCRACGCCCTTCTGCCTACATACCAAGAAGACATACCTAACAGTTATACCAAGGTATAGGTACTCAACATTGCAGTATGAGTTTACATTACGACGATCGCACCCCAATTATATACACTCATTACTAAAATATTCGTAGTCGTTAGACTAGTTTTACTATTAATATTAGGTTCCTACGTTTATAATATCTCGTGCAATAATGATCAAATCGTTTAATAAAAGTAYGAGCTCGGTCATAACGAATGCGACATTTAATTAGGTAGGTAGATATCAAGTGTTTAATTTTTTCTGAAAAGTTATTAATTATCGTTTACCCGCCTCGTTAATAAAGTAATCATTATAATCACACACGGGTGTACGGACGAAATTTGAGTCATAACGATCTCGGGTCATTTTTTTTTTCTAAGTTAATTATTA